GCATGAATAGTAATCATATACCGATATACTATTATTATGTATATTTTTTATTAATCTATTTTATATTTATTTAGTGGTATTAATAATTAATATCAATAAATAATAATTAATAATTAATTAATAAGTAATAATTAATTGATAAATTATTAATGATGATTAAATCATATAATATACTTGTGCAATATATAAATAATATATATTTAATTATATAAAAATAAAGTTATTATTATACATATACATATAAATATATAATTATTCAAAATATAAATGTATATATATTGTGTTTTATTAAAAATGTTTTAATTTATCAAGACGCGCGGCGAGCAATGCTGTTGCTAGTCGTTGCGAATGAGAGACGACTTACGCGGGTGCTATATGAGCGCGAGCGTGTACTTGCTCAGGTTTTTTCTAATTTTGAATGTGTTCTACCACATGAAATAAAACAAAATTTTGCACACTAAAAGAAAATTGAATAGCCATTCTAATGATGCTAATTAAAAATTAGTCGAAACAACCGCACTACCTGAAAATTCAAAACGAAAAATTATTTTCACTTTTTCCTGCACTAAAAAATAATTACTAAACAATATTTGTTATTAAAAATATAGTAGACATCGATATGAATATAATCCCGTTATTTGTTTTTTGATATCCTTCACCGTTGCGACAAAAAACGACTTTGAAAAAAGGGGCCACTTTCACACATTTTCAATGATATCTCGGCCAAATGATGAGCTACGGATTTGAAATTTGGTATATCGGATTTTCTCAAAAATACCTATAAAATGGCATCAAAATTATTTAAATACCAGGGTGGGGCCAATTCTGTATGGAAACACGCCCATACCCTTTATACTTAATTTTATTGAACCTATTCCGTAGACTCTAGAAATAATTTTTGACTGTTAAATAATTGGTATTGGTAAGTGAAAAATACCTTATTTAAATTTTCAATAAACTGGATGTTTATCATTTGTTAGAGCTTAATTTTAACGTTCATAATATTCCGTAGCAGAGTTTTGATTTCACAATGAATAGGTACTATAATTATCAGCTCAATCCGAGAAATAAGTAGTTTTTAAACTTAAGTAATAGATATTGGTATGTATAATGTATAAGATACCATTTACGAATTTTTAATTACGGCTTGCTTATGAATAAATAAATAAATAAATAAATAAATAAAATGGATCAAATTTCGTTCAAGAAACCTGCTCAATTTTAACGTCGTATAACTCGAAAAGTATTGAAAATTTCTAACTTCACAATTAATAGGTTCTGTGATTATCGGCTCAACACGAGCAAATAAAATTTCACAAAATTTTAGAGCTTTTTATAAGGCTAGTGTTCGCGCCAATCAAAGCATGCGGTCATATTGATATATAAACAAAAAATCATCAATCGGAAAATCATACAAATAAATCAAATCAATCAATACGTTATCAAAAACAATATTAAAATTATTATAAATACGATGTAATTTATGTAATTAACAAAAAATAAATGTTGCTAGTTAGATATTAAAATATTTTATAATTGGTCCTTCAAAAAGCAATCAATCACAACAATCATTGAAAAAAACAGATAGTTTACTACAATTCACGCGTCAAAAGATAAAAATATTGAAATAGCAGTTTTTTTTTCATTATTTTTGCCTAAATGACAAATCTTCTAATTTCTGTTCGAGCCCTCTATACGGTCTGGATGACGATCAATTGTCAAAACAATGAATTTTTGATCCAAAATCATTTTTTACACAGATATAATGAATTTGATAGATTTTCTTAACTTATTGCAATACTCAAAAATTGTATGAAGTAATCTTTGTAGTAAAATAAAAATAAAAAAATTCAGCATAAAATTTTATTCCTAAGTTCCAATTATTTCAAAACACAAATATTATGAATGTGTTTAAATTTCTTGACTTTGTTGAATACTCAAAAATAATATGAAGTAAAATTTTTAATACAATAAAAACTCAGCATAAAACTTCATGACACGAAAGCAAATAAAATTATGGAAGCAATTATCAATATTGCAAGATATGACAATAGCTCTATTTATATTACAAATTTCTACTAAGTATCTGTTTCCCAAGTTGTATCGTTATCTGTCACTTGGTCGGCGGTCAACTTGCTGGGGTTTTCTTGGGCAACTTCGGCCGTCCGGTCTGCGCTATCGGGTATCTCTACCCAGAACGGTTGTGGTTAAACAACTAAGTGTAACTAAGGCGGCGCAAGGCGAGGGGAAGGTGTCGCAAGATTATGAAGCCGCTTATTATTCGTATTAATAATAATAATCTCTCATATCTCGTCCGCAAACGCGCGAAGCACTGACCGGAAACAGGACGGGCAGATAAGCCAAGAAATGAGGAGAATATCTGAGGCACAGGCACCATACTATTGCAACCGATAGAGATAACTTGGTAACTGATAAAGCTTTGCCTCCGAGACAACGACAACGAGACAACGGCAACGGAAACTGACCGAGTGCGTTCTTATGATACCAGAGGACGAATTCCAAGCCAAGTGCGATGTAGAACACGTGCCGGGGAAAATAACCGAGACATTCGTTGTAATGATCATATTTGACCACTAAATTGCAATTTTTATGGATCTGCCTTCCAAAAAGTTTAATCAGTTCTTTATTCCATCAACCCAAATAAATTGTTTTTTGAATCAGTCCAGTCGAATGCAACGTTCTCTCAAAAACCATTTTGAGCACTTTTTGTTCCATATCTCTGAAACGAGTAGATCTGCCTCTGCCAAAAACAAAGCATCAATAAGAATCTAATTGTTTTTGAATCAATGATCAATCGGTTCATCATCTCATTGCTCTCAAAAACGTCGGCGAAAAATTGTATCCGCACACACATAAGCACGCATACATCCACTTTTTTCTAATAATAAGATATGCCAAAATGTTCAAAAATATTTGAGACGTGAATTTTTTTTTTTATTTTTTTTTATTTGATCATCTATCTACATGAGATATAGAATCAATTGCATGGCTATATTGAATTCTATATTAAACAAAAATTAATCCAGTGATGCAGTTCTTTACAGTATGATATATGGATTGGAGACGTGAAAATAAGCAAAAAAAATCAATTTCGATTTATTTGCGATTACTATGTGTCTAAAAATAACTGAAAAATTAAATTTTCTTTACTCAAAGAAATGGAGAAATATGATTAGAAAATAATACTCAGCTATCTAACGAAAAAAAAACATTTAATGCTGATATCAAATCTAATTTAATATTTTCAACAGAAGAATTACGAATGATGTGACAAACTTTATAATGCAATTGCAAAAATTGATAAAATAATAAAAATTGTATTTTAAATTGAAGTTTATCATACCGAGAACAAATGCAAGTCAGAGCAATGTAAAATAATTGCCTGGGAAAATAACTGAAACAAATTGTATTTTCTCTACTCAAAATACATATTAAGTAAAATTAAGAAAAACATCGTATGTCAACTTAACATATAAAGTAGTTTAATATTTTGAACAGAACTTAGTAATTAAATTTTAAAAGTTGATTAGTTTATATAAATCCATATATAAAACATACGTAGGAGATAAATTTGTATGTTCTGGTAGATAAATTATGAACTTGTTGGTTGGTATATATATATATTAGGGTGGTCCTTAAAATGGTCATTTTCGAATTTTCTTGCTCCCAGGGGCTCAAATGGTTTCAAATAGATAAAAAACAATTATCTGAAAGTTTTAGCTCTTAATATTAACGTTTAGATAGAGCGCAATTCAATCAAAGTTTTGTATGGAAATAGCATGGAAAAATTTTCAAAAATTTTAAAAATGTTTTTAAAATGTAATTTAGCGAACAAATGAATGAATAAAACTCATTCATTTGTCGCTAAGTTATACCTAAAACATTTTTTTTTAATTTTCAAAAATTTTCCATGCTCTTTCCATACAAACTTTGATTGAATTGCGCTCTATCTAAACGTTAATATTAAGAGCTAAAACTTTCAGAGAATTGTTTTTTATCAATTTTGAACCATTTGAGCCCCTGGGAGCAAGGAAATTCGAAAATGACCATTTTAAGGACCACCCTAATATATATATATATATATATATATATATATATATATGTATATATATATATATGTATATATATATATATATATATATAAATATTAGGGTGGTCCTTAATATGGACATTTTCGAATTTCTTTGCTCCCAAGGGCTCAAATGGTTCCAAATTGATAATAAACAATTCTATGAAAGTTTTAGCTCTTGATTTTGTCTTTTAGATAGAGCGCAATTGCATGAAACTTCGTATGGAAATAGCATGAAAAAAATTTTGAAAATTGAAAAAAAAAATTATGTATAACTTAGCGACAAATGAATTAAAAGTGAAAATTCGTGTCATTCTTTATTGAAAATTCGACGCTCTACAAAATTTTTGAAAATTTTGCCATGCTATTTCCATACAAAATTTTGATTGAAGTGCGCACTATCTTAAAGACAATATTAAAAGTTCAAACTTTCAGAGAATTGTTTTTCATCAATTTGGAACCATGTGAGCCCTTCGAAGGAAATTCGAAAATGCCGATTTTAAAGACCATCCTAATATATATATATATATATATATATATATTTATATATATATTTATTTATTTATAACAAATTCCGAATAAAAGTACATATCAATATATTCTAAAGAAACCATTCTCCTCAATTTAATCCAGACATTTTTATATGTACACAACAAAAAATGTCCCGTTTTATGTAAATATAATTACAGACAAAAACACATTAGTCGAATAGGAGATTAAATACAGATTTTGACAAATGCACACACTCAATATTTGTCTTAAGAGTGATAGATTACTAATAATGACTCCAGTTTTTTGTAAGACATTTACTCATTTCTTGCGTATGTAATAAAATATTTATGATTTGTCGTGTTAGTATGTATTGACGTTAGTTACGAGGACTATATGGTAAAAATGATTGAAAACTCACCCTTTATGTGTTCTTGAAGTACTATAGGGTGAGGAAAAAGCAGGAATGTTTCTGAAAAAGAAAATGGTAAATGAAAAAAATGAATTTAAGTGACAATGCTTGCAGTAGATGACATAGAAATAAATCATAACATTTATTTGACGTCTTAATTATATTTGAGCAATAAATTAAAAAAAAATCTTTATAAAATTTAGCGATGGGGTTTAGGAAAACAGTAAAACAGTGAATTTTTCATAATTGTAAATTATCTAATTTGAAACACCGTCACTGTCGATTTCAAGTACGATTAGGCTGAATTGTTGTTTTAGCCAGTGGCTTTCATGGTGATCATGTGATCATGACCTAGTGACAGTATCAATGTTCATTGACCGTTGATTGCATTGTACATTGTGTTTTGGAGGGTGAGCGCCTATTTCGGGGATGGCGTGCTCCCCACTGCTAATGCTGTGGTGATAATATTACCCTCAATCAATTTGGCAATCATCGAGTGATTACCGTAAACAATTAATATCGACCGAATTAATTGTGACCGATATGATTTGTTAGCAATTGTATGCATTTTGCGGATGATGGTGCACGGATTTTGCAATTCTAATCGCACGGTGAGAAAATAATTCTGGGAAATCTTTAACTTGATAAATTCATAAAATATATTACATGTTTACTGTAAGTTTTGGTTCTAATAAAACTAGAAGAATTAAATTCGAAAAACAAAGGTTATCGTAGTACATGGCAGTTGTCGGGGTTGTACTGTTGAGTTTTGCTAATAATAAACTCTCACAAATTAATATGTCAGTATGATAATTATTAGAACTGTTCATGTACGAAAAAGCGAAAAACAATGTATGTCATGATTAGACAAACGATTTCGCATAAGCAATATCTCTCAATATGAATTAGTAATATCCAAAGTCCACGCCGATAAAAAAACAAAGCAAAATAGTACGCATTTATTTCTTTGTGTGAATTACCAAAAACTTGCAAAATATAATATAAAACTAGTGGGGTGTATGGCGTCGTGCCTCAAGGCAAATTGCTGGAACTTCCCGCACCGTAACGAAATGTTCGAGGAATACTGAATGTTTTCAAATAGATTATTATAATATAAATAAATAATGTAATATTGTCTAATATTTACCAGAATTATATAAACTGAATTGCAAAGTTGAAATTATTTGTTTAAAGTATATTAGAACTATAGTCCGTATTCAAAATAAAATGTGAATTATTTTCGATATACTTTTTTTTTGAAAAAAAAAAGTTGAAACAATAAATTTTTTTCCAAGATCAATTATTTTGCTGCCATTTTTTACACATTTAGCTTCGTTTCTTCGAAATGGCTGAGCCTGCCTTTGCCAAAAACTAATAAACACTTCTCCCAATCATTACTAATTGAATGTTTTTCAGATCATTCAAATCGGATGCTCCGTTTTCTCAATAACTGCTGGACCTGCCTTTGCCAAAACCTAATCAGCTCATCTTCCTATCAATAGAAATCGAATGTTCAAATCAAATAATCGAACCGTTCAAATCGGTTGATCCATGCGCCCGAAAACGTGACTGGAAATTTGTATCTATACATACATACATACATACACACACACATCCATTTTTTCTGAGGCATGCCAAAATGTTCAGAAACCTTTAAAACGTTGAGAAATGTAAAAATTTTCAATTTCGATTTTCGGCCCATTGCAATTACCCTACGCAAAGTTAATTAATAGAATGTTTCATATTTTATTGAAAAATGCGATTAGAATAATTAAAATAAAATAAAAAAATCTATTACATGATATACTTTTCGGTTTTATTCAAGAAGTGGCCAGTTTTAAATCATCTATATACTAGTTCAATTTATTTACTGTAATTTGATTATCTTGATTCGAATATAGAAATTTTTAAACAACAACAATAAAGTGAAATGAATATATTCTAATATTACTGGACCGGTATAAATAGTATATTAATGAAAAATAATTAATTAAGAACTGTTTGAATGTTTTATACTGAGAAAACAAGTAAATCAGATATAAAAATTTTGATAAAAATCGCTAAGTAAAGAATTAAAAAAAAAAGAATTCTGAAACAGTGTGTATTATTTGCAATTTTCAATATGAAAAAAATCTCGATCCCAAATATAAATTTTAATTCAATTTCAATCTCGCGCAAAATGATCAAAATATTTGTCAATTGGCCTGCTAGTTAACTGTTGGCAATATAATATGCATTACTATTAACGGATATATATAGGTTATAATCAAGGACATAATCTAATCGATCTAATGTGCTGATAAAGCACTGTATATATATTCTATACTGTGGTTGATCATATAGTGAACATAAACTATGTAGGAAATGCGTGCGAAGTGTGGATACTGGATATATATCCATAGTATATATACCCAGTCAATGCGCTGGAGATGGTTGTAGTAGGATAGTAGTCAATGAAGCTGTTTAGACATAGGTATGCAAATACACTAAACATATCAGGTAGGATTGAATCGAGGAATATATGGAATTGGAGATTTTTTCATGTGCATCTAGTAATTATAGACTCATCCAGAAATGGTGATTATAGGAACTCGATTCCTAGCCTGATACAAGGCGCCAAATTTTTTTTTGCAAGTATTGTATCTAATGATTAATAATATATTCTACACTGATTTCAATTCCAAGCTATTCACTTCCACGCTTCCACTTCTTAAAGAAAAACATTAATCAAGTCCTCAAGTTTACGTATACAGCCAGACATCAAAAAAGGCTTCTGTATTAAAAATACGAAAACGTACGTAGCAATAAATAAATATGCATTTTGTAATAATTAAATTTGTAAAGAAATTGATGAACAGACTGAGATACTTCTTATCTAATTTATATTAAATTATAATAAAGTATTGTGTATTTGTACATAACTTTACAAATTTAAGGCTATCTCTCATATGACTAAATTTTCTTCTTCTTTTGCTTCATCGTGAAAATAAGTGACATTTATGGCACAAATCATTTATTTTTTAAATATATTTCACCGGTTGATTTTTCCCAATTTGATAAATTTATCCTTATGATCTTTAAAGCTCGCTCTACTCTATCATTAGTCATTTCTAGTATAATTAAGTTTTCCTACAAAGTTATATTATGAATGATGTGTTTAAATACAAACTTGGGGTCCGTTTAAGTTATGATATAGTTTACTAAAGACATTAGAATGAATCAAAATTATACGAGCAAGTATTTAAACTTTAGCGAATACAAAGATCTCTGAATTCACAAACTGTTGAGGTTGTTTACAAACACAAATTGTTGAAGGTATATGTCAAAAATATGGTATATATATATATATATATATATATATATATATACATATATATATATCAGTTTACATTTTAAAATTTAGAAAAAAAAAACACAATTTTCAACATCAAGTGCATGTGTTTTAAAGAGTATTCCAGTGTAAAATTATTTTCATTGGTTGCATTCGAATAAAGCTTGTCGCGTAATTATTTACAATATTGAACACCATAAATCGCTAGAGTTTGTGCAAATAATCCCTATCAAATATTCGTGAGATATAAAAAACTTGACGGATTTTGTCGAAATCCTACCGATAAAACGTGTACGTTTATCCTCGAAAATGTAAGCTCGTGTTTAATCGTAACTATGAGATAAAGGACTTTCTAATTTGGGAAAAAGGACTAAATTATTATTATTAAATTTGGAAACATAAAATTCGTGCAAAGTGTTCTCCTGAATTCATGCAACTAAAGAAACATCAGAGAGTAAACTGGCAGATTTAAAAACGAGGGTCAGGGGACCTCATATAAGAGACAATACACAAAGGAAAACAAACGGTTCCTAAACGATTTTTTCGATTCAAATGCTAACAATTTATTATTAACAAATTTGAAAATATAGAATTTGTGCAAAGTGTTCTCCTGAATTCATGCAACTAAAATAACATCAGAGAATAAACAGGCAGATTTTAAAACGAGGGTCAAGGGACCTCATATTATAGTCACTATGAGAAGGGAACCAACGGCTACTAAACGATATTTTCAATTGAGACAATAAATCGAATTTTACGTAATGGAATATGAAGATTGTATCAATATATCAATGGAATATAAAGATTAACGCATTATATATTAGTGTTAAACTTTGTGACAAAAAATTCAGTGGACTGTATTATTCAACAAAGTTGGCACAAAAAGAGTGTAGAGTGTAGTGTTTTCATAGTTACACACATATGTATATGTACATATGTACATATATATATATATACATATATATATATATACATATATATATATGTATACATATATGCGTGTATATATGTTTATGTAAAAAAACTTTTCATGAATAGTAAATCCAAAAATGCGTGCGAGGTTCCCATTTTCACAATTTTGAAACAATCGCCAGTTAGCCGCGAGAATATTCAATCAAATCTCCGAATGCACTAGAACTCGCCTTCATTACTGATGTAAAATAGTTCTCTGGCTGCATACATGCATTTTGCCGCGGATTGTGCAAAATCAAATTGAAATTCATTCTTTTCATATGCGCCACAGGCCGGTGGACTCTGGCCGGGCCGTATTCAAATATCGGGCGCGCGCATCGCCGAAAATCCCCATGAAAATATATTCATGTTTGTGAAAAATAAATATGCGCCATAGAGAAAGAGGCCGAGTACAAAATTCGACATGCAAATGTACTTTTTGTGTACTAAAACACCATCCCCTATGCGAATGGCAACAGAACGCGGCTATTTTTTTAATACTGGACATATAGGCTCGGACGCACGCAGATACGAATGTATGGGGACGAGATGGAACGATGCGCATGAATATGTAAAATGCACGCGTAATTACAAGCGCACATGGGGCGATGGACAAAGTTTCTCAACAACTAAACTATTCATTACCACAAAAATATATGCTAAAGAACTATCGAATCGAATTAACGCAAAAAAAATTCTCATTGTCCAGTCCTATGAAAAGTTATAAATGACAATCACAAGATCCAGTCAAAGTCCAGCTATTATAATTAGGGAAAGA